TCCTGAGAAAGGGAAAAAAGTGAGGAAGCTTTATCACTGAATCAATTTTACTTAGATCAGATATAGTTACAAAAAATTATTATAAACTTAAGAAATATTAAGTGGTTCCCTATTGATTTAAAGCTTTTCACTTTGCCTATATACAAACATACACCTAATGAAAAGGCTATACAATAAGGTGAATCACCGAGATATAAAATAAGAAACTAAATACAACATATAATTATATCTTCCAATAGTGAGAATATGTCTCTCTTAACTGATGATCAAATCAAACTCATTCCTCAAGTATAGATTAGAAGAATAAGATCCCATGCAAGAAGTTCACGTATAAGAACTCATATATTGAAGTAATAAGCATTTTACAAACCTTCCATTTAACCTCGATAAAGTTTTAATATTGCATGTCTCAAGAATTTGTTCATCTGAAACTGAGTTACACTTACCAAACGTAACATTTGTGCAAACAACTCAAAGAGGATTGATGTCAAAAAAAGTAACCACGATCTAACTTCGTCAGTTTCGTGTCATTTAATATATAACGGTCATAGAGTCATAACCCTCTTACGCCATTTACCCTCTTATATAATAGGGTGGAGATAAGCTTGTTTTACGAACATAACGAAGGTTTTTGGTACTATAATATATATATATACTTATATTGTTTGACGAGTCTTTATATTTTGGAAATGAAAACCAGTTTGTTGAAAATTTTGGTCAGGCGTGCCAACATGAGCTGTATGTGCGGGCTGTGAAAGACGGGCGTGCTTTAATCTCTCACGTGCGAAGACCTCAACATATAATAGATCAGTTTAAAAATTGATAAGAAGAGGTGAATATTTTTAAATATAATATATTCTTTCTTTCCCATAAATTTTGTAGTAAATCTTCGTAGAATTAAAATTCAGTCAAATGTTTTTTTTTTTGAAAAAACATAGTAATAGTTGTTTGAATAGATTCCAAAAAGAAAATCATTTCTTCAACATACTACTTTTCTTTTTAGGAAAGCCCCGCAAAAGTTTTTCTAAATTCTTCTAATCCATTTCTTAAAAATATTAGTATAGTTTTAAGTGTCGCACTATCGAAAATACCAAACTAAAATATTAGTTCATTTTAAAAAAGATTATACTAAATCGATGACCAGCATGACGAGAACACGCACTATATAACAACGAAACCTTGAGCAAGGACGCATTAGTGGTAAAGATACACTACAACACCAAGAAGAAAAAAAAAAGAGTTCTAGATTTCAATTAGGTTTCTTAAGAAATTAGATTCTTGTGCTCAAAGAAACCTTTAAACTGTTTACCTTTTCTCTTTCCAGACAAAGTTTAAATTTTTACAAAAGTTTTTGCTCAGAATCGATGGAGATCAAAGCTGAAAAGATGCAAATGTCAAGGTTCAAAAGAATCTGTGTCTTCTGTGGAAGCAGCCAAGGCAAGAAAAGTAGTTACCAAGATGCTGCTGTTGAGCTCGGCAACGAACTGGTATTACATGAACTTCATCTTATTTTATTTCTTTTTTTTTTCTCCGGTGATATGAGATAAGATGGTGTACTTCTTTGCTTTCATTATGTTCCGCAAAACTATATTCTTTTTAAGCTTAGATAAAACATATTCACAAGATGTTTTTGAATGTGTGTTTGTGTAACTTTTGCTAATGCAGAGCATTTTTGCTTTCTTCTTTGAAACGTGCCAAATAATATATAACTTTAAGATATTCTGGTTGATGTTTTGTCAAATGGGTCTGAATCTCAAATCTTCTATTTGTTTAGCTAGCAAATCTAGGCTTCATGTGTACCTCTGTTTTTGATTTTGTTCTGCAGGTTTCAAGGAATATTGATCTAGTCTATGGAGGTGGGAGCATAGGATTGATGGGTTTGGTTTCACAAGCTGTTCATGATGGTGGTCGTCATGTTATTGGGTAACTATTTTTATCTAGTTAAATCACTTAAAACTATTTACTCTATTTAATCTCTTCACTTACTGTTTAATGGCTTCACTTAACAACTTTGTGATCTTTGTATCATACCAAAAACTGTTTTTATCTGATGGAACAAAACTGTTGTGTTATGTTGTTGATTACTTCTAATACAACCTCTTTTTTGTCATCTTGTTGTCACTCTACAGAATTATTCCCAAGACCCTCATGCCTAGAGAGGTAACTTTTCAAGCTTTTTTGAATAAACATTGCTATTTGTTTATTAATTTATCTTTAGGTTCTATTTTATTTTCTCTAAATCCCAATTCAAACCCATTTAATCTCCAGTCTTTGCTTAGGTTTTACTCTTCTCCCTACTTATAATTACTTTTTCTCCAGTCTCATGATTATTTGTAGTTTCTCTTTTCTGTCTCATCTTCTTTTCCTTTAGCTATCCTAAAATACAAATATCTTCATTTTCTACCTTAATTTAACTAAAAGATATATGAAGAAAATGATTAAAGAGGTGGTTAACTAGATTAGGGTTATGTGAAACATGTAGGAGAATTCAAAAACATCCAAATGTTACGATTACTTGCATAGCCATCATTGCGTTTGCCTGTAGAAGAGTCCAAAGTTGCTTTCTCACTTTAACTACTTTTAATTATTACTTCCTTTTATTTAAAAAATTGGTGGATGCTCTTTGCAGTTGACTGGTGAAACAGTAGGAGAAGTAAGAGCAGTTGCAGATATGCACCAAAGGAAAGCTGAGATGGCTAAGCACTCTGATGCTTTTATTGCCTTACCAGGTTTTGTTTTGAACCCCATCCACCCAAAAATATCATCATTTTATTTCATTTTATATATTTATAACTATAAATTATTGCTTTTGTTTCAAACAAAGTAATGATGATAAGGAAATACTGGTCAAACTGTAGTGACACAAGGAACCTCAGGAACACCATTTTAGGCCATCTTAGTATCTTAATGAGTGGGAAATCAAAGTTTAAAAGAAGGAATATTTTTTTCATGAAAATAAAATTTTGTTTTAGACTGATTTTGCAAAACAGAGAAGAAAAGAATTTGGTAAAAACATGATTTTTTGGTCAAGCTGCAGTGTGAAAGCTACTGTGAAAAGGTTCTTTAATTTTGTATGGAAAAATGTAAAATAATAAGTCACCAGAGTCTAAGATAAAGGCCTTGACCCATCAACATCCGGCACTTAAAATAAGACCTTTTTGTTTTCTCTCCTCTTTAGTCTGTTATTGCTCTGCCTTTTAAACTTAGGGGTACTCTCTGTGTGTAGCTTGTGTAGTCTTACCGTGACCAACGTTTTCTTCTTACCCAATTCAAGATAAGAGACAAAACCTGAAACAGTCCCATAAATAGCATTTCTTGCCCACACTGAATTTTGAAATCATTGATGGAAAGTCAAGTTCTTTCAAGATCCTGCTTTTGTAATCATCTTCATACCGTTGTACAAACTGTAAAAGAGATGGAGAAGAGTCTCTATTACGTTTTCTCTTGTACATGACACTTATTGACTTGACCATATCATATTAACAGATTAATCTGCTATTTTAAAAAGGAAAAATCAAATCTAAGGTTTTGTGTGAAAATTACAGGTGGCTATGGAACCCTTGAAGAATTGCTTGAGGTCATAACTTGGGCTCAGCTTGGAATACACGAAAAGCCGGTAAAAAAANTCTCTATTACGTTTTCTCTTGTACATGACACTTATTGACTTGACCATATCATATTAACAGATTAATCTGCTATTTTAAAAAGGAAAAATCAAATCTAAGGTTTTGTGTGAAAATTACAGGTGGCTATGGAACCCTTGAAGAATTGCTTGAGGTCATAACTTGGGCTCAGCTTGGAATACACGAAAAGCCGGTAAAAAAATGGACAAACACTCTCTCAGAATTTAAATAAAGATTTAAGTACCATAAATCACTAAAAGTAAATGTTCTGTAGGTGGGTTTGCTCAATGTTGATGGATACTACAACTCACTGCTCTCATTCATCGATAAAGCAGTTGAAGAAGGATTTATCAGTACGACTGCTCGTGAGATCATCGTCTCTGCTCCTACTGCTAAAGAGCTTGTGAAAAAGCTAGAGGTAAATAAATTATAAAAATAAAGATGAATTGTTTTCTCAAATTTTGCATAATCTCATAATACATTATTGTTTTTGTTGCAGGAATACGCACCTTGCCCTGAAAGTGTTGCGTCTAAGCTTTGTTGGGAGACATAACGGATTGAAGAATGATCAAGATATCAAGATCTAATTAATATATCTATCTATATAACTATTTAAAATATTTTATATATAGATAATGAAAAAGTTTTCAAGATTTCAAGCTTACTAAAAAAGGAAGGAATAGATTCTGATTAGTTGGGGTAAGTAAAAAAGAATTTCCACTATGTAGGAAATTGTGTGTAAATTATTATTAGTTGCTATCTTTTTAACTCCAAACTAAATGTCATCTGATATCTGTAAGATCACCAACTCTGTTCTGTAATCAAACAAAAAAAGTTTCCCACATTCGTCTCAAAATATTTTATTTCTGTATTCAATTATCAATACTCACGTTACCAAAGAAAATATTAATATTCAATACTTACAAGTTACAAGAAAGGCAGAAATAAACAGAGGAAAAAAAAATCTAAAATATGACTTTGTTTCAAATTATAATGAAAACATCTTTTGGTCTAATGTTTGATTGGAAATTCATTACTGTTTTGACATTTGGAAAGTTTGAGGTTCGGATTTCCAAAAATGTTATTTACTAATAATTATACAAAATAATTGAAAATTACAATAAATTTCAGCTAATAACTTAATAAAATAAGTAACAAAATGTATTTCTTAAAGTTAGTTTTAATGTATAAAATATATTTATAATAATCACATTAATATATGTTTCTTTTGACCACCAAAAAAAAAGAGAGTAAATATATTTTACTTCGACAATTAGTCCACTAAACTTATTTTTAAGACATAATAATAAGTAGCCCAATTATCAGTGTCTTGCCTTTTTATACGGTCTGGAACTGTTTAAACTTCTGAAGCAGCGTATGATGAACGTGAGCCGACCGGCGGTTCACCCGGTGGATACGGTTCCGGTAGCTCCGCCCGGTAACGATAGACCGCCACCGAGGATGAAGGATGTTCAGGGCATGCCCGGAACCACCGGCGGTCTCATCCTCCGCCTCTCTCAATTCGTCTCTGCTCTCATCTCCGTCTCCGTCATGATCACCACCTCCGACTACCGCTTCGCCACCGCTTTTTGGTAACGGAACTCTAAATCCCCCAAAGCCTGATTTGAGATTCTGAAAAAAAGTTAAGATGCCTTTAGTGATGATCTCTTGATCAAACCTTTGATGATTTGAAGTAATTCTATGGAAATTAGGGTTTTGACTCATCTAATTGGTGTGATGTACACGTTTCATCCTTCTTGTTTCATTTGCTTATTAGGGTTTGAGCAATTTGATTTAAGACAAAAAAACATGGTATATAACAAACTCTCATGTGTGACAGTTGCTTGGTTCTTGCGGTTAGCTTGCAAAGCCTGTGGAGCTTGACTCTTTTTATCATCGATGCTTATGCTCTTCTTGTCAAAAGAAGCCTTCGGAATCTCTTGATTGTTCAGTGTTTCACAGTTGGAGATGGAGTAAGTGAAGTTCTTTATGTGTGTTTAAGTTAGTTACTACGAGACAAACAAAGTGACTGAACTATCTTTTTTTTAATCTCAACATAGTTGTTGTTGTTGTTGTTGCAGATCACATCCACACTTACATTTGCAGCTGCATCTGCGTCAGCTGGCATAACCGTACTCATCAACGATCTTGATAGATGTGACGTTAACCAGTGCACAAGGTTTGAGACTGCCGTAGCAATGGCCTTCATCAGCTGGTTCGCGGTGTCTCCTTCCTTTATTCTCAACTTCTGGTCATTAGCAAGCTTCTAATTAGCATACAAAGATAATGTTCAGAGGAATCTTATCTAATCTATTTTTCCTAGTATATAATGTAAATAAAGGGTGGAGTATAATTATCCTTCGAATTAGCCAATGCTTTGAACACATTATATTATTATTACATTGAGAAAATCATAGTATTAAAGAACTGACACTGCGTTCTTGGTCAGACACTACGATGAGGAATGTAATGTGACATCTACTAAAAACTCAAATTCTGAAGATTATAGTCAAAGGAAGTCCAAACACACACATGGCCTTAAGGATATCTCTGGAAATTTCCTCTCTCGTAGTCTTATAGTAAACGGAAATGGGGGAAATGAATACTAACAAATTAAGGTCTTTTCTTAATTTATGCTAACCTCCTCGTTGCATTTAGTTATTCATATCTGAGTGATTTTTGATTTTATCACTTACTAGTTAGTGGAGATATCCAATGTCCGATGAGGAGTGGGAGCTGACGTATCAATTTACACATTGTTTAGTGGAGAAACCGAGAAAGGAGATTAATAAGAGAAGCAATGTGGTCAACTTTTTTTCTCAATAAACAAACAAACAAACAAACAAACTGACTGACATAGAAAACGTAAAACACTGCAACTCCATCAACTGGAATCCACACAAATAAAAGCAGAGGAGAAGAAAAAAAAAAACATAAGAGGACACACTTCAAAATCACGTGCCCAATTTATACATAACAGTAACCACTTTTTGTTTTGTTTTTTTGTGTGGTTGAACTCAAACGTTGGCTGCACTTCTGAAGGATCCGAGGGACTTGGAACCAGAAGCCCTTAGGACGAATTGGTGATAAAAGGCAGCAATCGCAGCTCCGATGAATGGTCCCACCCAGAAAATCCACTGTAATTATATAAGACCAAAAATATTCAGTTAAATTTCCCCTTTAAAATATAAGTATAGTTTAATTAGTTTCTTATATTGATAAACATACGTGGTCATCCCACGGCTTGGACTCGTTGTAGATAACCGCAGCTCCAAAACTCCTGGCCGGGTTAATCCCGGTTCCGGTGATTGGAATAGTAGCCAAGTGAACCATAAACACCGCAAACCCAATAGGAAGTGGTGCCAACACCTAATTCATAACCACAAGTGTAATTAATTAGGCACTCGATTACATACATGTTAACTATTGGTTTTGTAATTGCAAGTAGTTGATGACAAAAATACTAACCGGAACGTGAGAGTCTCTTGCGTTTCTTTTGGGATCAGTAGCAGAGAAGACAGTGTAGACAAGGACGAATGTTCCAATGATCTCTGCAGCGAGTCCTGTCCCTGTGCTGTAACCATCGGCTAGAGAGTTTGCTCCTCCTCCGTAACGGACGTAGTAAGCGCTTTGGAAGGCCTTCACGAACCCAACTCCACAAATCGCACCCAAACACTGAGCAACCATGTATAGCACCGCTCTAACCAACGTTACCTTCCTTGCCACGAACAAGCCGAATGTCACAGCAGGGTTGATATGACCACCTTCATAAAGTTTTGGGGTCAATATCAAATAACCAAGAAACCAAAGAACACGTTTATTTATCAAACTCTAATAATTAATTTCTTCATTTTGCTATATTGTCTGTCATTATTCGTATAATTTGCCTATTTTTCCTAAAAGTATTTCCCTAATATTTTTTTGTCAAAAAAAAAAAAAATTAAAATAATCTGAACCGATATGAACCGGACTGGTTTGTTATGTTAATACCTGAGATACCGGCGGTGCAGTAAACAAGGATGAAGATCATGCCACCGAAAGCCCATGAGATGCCGAGGATTCCGACACCTCCACACTCGTCACCTCCGGCCTTAGTGTCGGAGGAAATCTTGTAGCCGATGACAGTCAAAACAGTGACATACAAGAAGAGCAGAGTAGCTACGAACTCGGCTATGACTGCTCTGTACAAAGACCACTTGGTCAGCTCCTCCGCATCGAAAAACGGAGTTGGCGGCGGATCTTCGTAGTCCCTCGCCGCGAGTCCATCTGATCCTTCCGCGTCTTTCGGCATTTAAGGTTGATTACTATATGTAATGGATGTTTCTGTTGGAAGTGTTTTACTTCTGGTTGTGAGAATAAGTTTGAGCAAATGGTTCTTTATATAGAGTGAGCTCTGTGCGTATATGTGACACTTTTTTATTAACACGTTTAAAAGTTATGTAGATGATTTTGTGTAAGGAAATGAACCTTGGTAGTTTCTTTCTATAGGAGGCTCTTCATTTTTGGCAGTAAAAAATGACCTTGACTGTTTAATGACGAAAATAGTAATAATCTTTCTGGATTTTATCATCAATATTCAAATTAAACCGAATTGTATTCTGAGCCCATAGGTAATTCTATATCTGCAAGTAACATATAGTTTGTTTAAGCTTAGTCAACACTAAAAGCAGGAAATAAATTATATCTTTCTCATACGGTAACATTTCCAAATAGCTCCATTATTGCTACTGAAAGATCAACGTCCCATAGTCACGTCATTAAATTTGGTTAAAATACGACCGTTGACAAACCAATAAAAACGTGAGCAATTTACAAAATTGATGAACAGAAACAATAACGACAACAATTTATAAAATGCATATTATTATACAATAACAACCATAGCTGATCTGTAAGCTGTACCAACATTCATAATTGCATAGCTACTTTAAAGGCTTTGACAAATATTCATAATATCATCTGTAAGCAAGAAAAAAAGTATTTGTCACCCATCTTATCACAATATTCGTGCGTGTTCCTACCGTTTCTAGTACATTCTGGACTACTTTTGCAGCTTTTCATGCTTAGTCTCGTAAGTAATATATCGCAAGCGAATATTTTTTTAATAAAGAGATGAAACTTAATCTTGAATCATTTGTGTGTAATAACGCATTAACTTGTAACTGACACTGAATGGAACTTTATTGTGTAACAAGCTGCAGAATGTACACATTAAACGATCTACTAGTGTAAAAATTTCATAGAACACTACATCTATTAACTATGACTATGATGCATTCAGCATTCACCACTATATGTATATTCACATATGCGTAAATCAGTGTATTATTCCTATTTGTTATTGTGGATTTCATTGTCAGCAAATATATAGTGTTACTTTCCGTCCAATAAGAGCAGAGGGACGTTGCTAAAACGATAAGGTTACTGTGACATGGCAAAACCCATAGCCACGAACACCACAAACGCCACATTCCTTTTGTCTGTGCTCACGTTTATGTTTTAAATTTTCATTTTCAATAAATAAATTTGTGTCATATGGCCAATACATGGACGTAACAAAATTGCAATTGGAATTGAGGATAGAGAGAGAGAGAGTGATAATTATTGACGGCTTGTGGGTCTCACTACGTGGCACGACAAGAGTGGTTTAGTGAAACCGACGGGTGGACTGAGTTGGAGTTAATCGGACGGTGCCGATGTATTTGTCGGAGCTTTTGGACGGTTTCTCATGCTCAGTGAACCCCACCTTCCACGTCACCTACCCCAGTTCCATTAGATTTCGACCTTAGTGGAAACAGAGCCATTAAAACGACGCCGGACCTTCTATCCTGTCCATGTAATCATTTTGTTAATGTAATGGTAGGGTTAGGTTAAATATGTATATATAATTATATATATATATATAATTTATCAAATATTTATGCTTTGTATGTGGCTGTTTCACCTTTTCAATAGAGTTTTGTAGATACAAGATTGAAGTACCAATTAAAAGATGGTAGAATATAACTTAATCAGAACTCTTATACTAGAATTTATCTAGCTATCTTCAAACTGATAAGATTTATATACTATTTTATGTTTAAAAGAGTGACAGTCTATATTATTCTAGAGGAGGACAAGGCTCATGACATATGGACAAGAGGAAAGAAAATATAGCCGCATATAGTATATTAGCGTCGGTCCAAATGAAAGCTACGTTTAGGTGTGGGGCGGCAAGGCTAAGTTAATTTAACCATAAAACTCCATTATCCACCATAAATTTAAGAATTAAGAGGTCGCTGTTCTTAATAGCTCCATAACCATTCTTTTACATTATCCAAATCTCAAATAAACTCATATTAAGTTTTAAGGTCTAGTAACATTAACTGAAACCAAAAACAAACTTAAGCTATGACTTCGTTAACAAAACATATTTAGGTAATTTTGCTATGAAAATATGACATCTACAGTTAAAATTTATAGGACTATTTACATAAATCTATTATGCAAATCAGTACTATGCTAACAAACGCATACAAAAAAAAATCTGATTTAAAGAAAGAAAACAAGTGGAATATATTACGTAATTCTGTGTTAATTATGAAGCAATGATTAGGATTGGTTATATCATGACAGCTTGCTAGGTAATTAATTAGTGGAAGCTAGTTTCCACAAAAATAATTAGTGAAACGAATAATATATAGGATAACCCCATAAACCTACCAAGGAAAACATTATTTGTAATATAATACGTACAGGTAACAATTATTAACATGTTATGCAATATTGACAAGAGCATTCACTAAGAACTCACTCTATATAAACAAACCTATCTTCATCCCTCCACAATCACAAAACAGGAATAATCACCAAAACACACATATTCTTGGTATTAAAATATTAAATGGCGAAAGAGGTGGAAGGAGAGGGATTCGCGACGAGGGACTACGAAGACCCGCCGCCAACTCCGTTTTTCGATGCGGAGGAGCTGACCAAGTGGTCTTTGTACAGAGCAGTCATAGCCGAGTTCGTAGCCACTCTCCTCTTCTTGTATGTCACTGTTTTGACTGTCATCGGCTACAAGATTTCCTCCGACACTAAGGCCGGAGGTGACGAGTGTGGAGGTGTCGGAATCCTAGGCATCTCATGGGCTTTCGGCGGTATGATCTTCATCCTTGTCTACTGCACCGCCGGTATCTCAGGTATTAACATAACGAACCGGTCCGGTTCATAACGGTTATCAGATCTTTTTATAAATAAACGTGCTCTTTTGGTTTCTTGTTTATTTGATATTGACCCCAAAACTTTGTGAAGGTGGTCATATCAACCCTGCGGTGACGTTCGGCTTGTTCTTGGCAAGGAAGGTATCGTTGGTTAGAGCGGTGCTATACATGGTTGCTCAGTGTATGGGTGCGATTTGTGGAGTTGGGTTCGTGAAGGCCTTCCAAAGCGCTTACTACGTTAGGTATGGTGGAGGAGCAAACTCTCTAGCTGATGGATACAGCACAGGGACAGGGCTCGCTGCAGAGATCATAGGAACATTTGTCCTTGTCTACACTGTCTTCTCTGCTACAGATCCCAAAAGAAACGCAAGAGACTCTCACGTTCCGGTTAGTATTTATCATCAGTTACTTCTAGGGACAAGATGGTTAGTTAACATACGATATAACTAAATAATTTATGGTTATGAATTATGAAATAAAAGGTCTTGGCGCCACTTCCAATTGGATTTGCCGTGTTCATGGTACACTTGGCCACTATTCCAATCACCGGAACCGGTATTAACCCGGCCAGGAGTTTTGGAGCTGCGGTTATCTACAACGAGTCTAAACCGTGGGATGACCACGTATGTCTCTAAATATGAAAACTAATCAAACTATGGTTACATTTTTAATGTGAAAATTGTACTTAATATTTTTGGTCTGTTTGAAATACAGTGGATATTCTGGGTGGGACCATTCATTGGAGCTGCGATTGCTGCATTTTATCACCAATTCGTCCTAAGGGCCTCTGGTTCCAAGTCCCTTGGGTCTTTCCGAAGTGCGGCCAACGTTTGAATTTAGCCACACAAAACAAAATAGCAATTACAAAATGATTGCTGTTATGTATGTACAAAATTGGCAACTTTGGTTTTAAAATCTATGCTCTGTTTTCTTCTTTTTGTATTTCCTAATTTCTGGCTTCATTGTGGGATATGTGAATGTTTGTGTACTCGGGGAAAATCAATCTGTGAATACAAATTGTTTTTGCCTCTCTTTTTTAACTATCATCAAACATTTTGGAAGAAAATGTTACCAGTACTACAACACTTCGACTTAGAAGTTTCATCTGATACTCTGATTAGTCTCCATGGTCTGAAGAGGACAAACGAATTGACAGTAATAGTTTTCTCTTGGACAGGGCTAGTCTAATGTTCATGAAAGTGAACACTTTTTGTGTTGACATTCCCATTCACTATTTCTATAAGCAACTAGGTTTTGTCATGGTTCAAACAATTTGTGTCACTAAAGTCATCTTCTGGAATAACAAAGCAAAAAGTATATGATGGACACAAAAGTTTGGAATGATTTAAACACAAGTGTAAGTTTCGATTATCCAAATGTAGCTCAAGACCAAAATCAGGGTTTAAATTCCCCTCCCCCTTAAGTACTTTTTTATTCACAATGAAATGAAAAGTCTCCTCTCTTAACTTAGTTTGATACTTGTACCTTATTAGCTTAAGAAACTTGTGTTTACTATAAGTCATACACAATTTGTATGGTACGCATTGATCCACTCTTCATCTCACATCATCCCAAAAACACTGGGCTCATTTGGTTTTTGTAGGTCAAACTTTTGGCCACTCTTGCTTCAAAACAATCAAGCTTTTTGTTTGAGTTTCTACGAAACTTGTGATAATCCTGAGCTAGTATATCACTGTCCGCCTGCATTTTATGTCTGCGCTTTCTGATGGCTCGTTGTTGTAGTTGTTAGTTGTTACATATTCCTTTATTGGTTGGAGTGGATTAATTTATTTTCTTGCAGCTCACTATGTCTAGAAGACTCTGGATATATATCACTATAATAAGATTTTTTCCATCTCTCTTTTCGTTAGTAGATTATGCAAGGATTGTTTATGCCTCGTCTTTATTGTTTTAGACTTTTTGTGCGAGTGTGAGTTATAAAATTTTTGCTATTGTTTATCCGATCTGAAGTAGACCAGTTTTGTGGCCATGTCTCTGGAGGTTTAGAATATCCCCGTTTTGTATTTCCCATGTATTACATCATGTATGGAAAAATAGGAAGATGCTCTTGGAGATCTAGGATTCTAAAAATACAAAACTATAATCATAAACAAAATAATTCTATATAAAAGTATATAATTGTACGAACGAAATTATTTGTTTAATTACATGTCATAGATAGGACACTAGAAAAATATTATTACATCGCCAGGGAACCACAAGATTCTCTTGGGTAAAGAAAACTTTTAATGCCCTAAATTTCAGCGAAACTTTCCAAAGGTAAAAAAATTCAACAAAGAATATAGTATTCATATCAATTTAATTTTCTCAAGAAAATACAAGAAAAAAACAAAAAAATGTAAAACCCATTATTACGTGTATCCCAACCTTCGGTTCTCGGGTACTAGTTTCTCTCCTAACCTCGCAGGCTCCGACTTACAGCGCGTGAGTACCATACACTGTCGTCGTGGCGATCCCAAAACACACCGTTTCACTCCTTCACTCACCTCACTCGAAACCGACACATTTTCCGGCGATGCAATGACGTCATTACCATGTCGTTGGAAGTGAGATTCCTTTGTCTCTTCTCCTTCTTCTTCTTCCAAGAAGTTATCTCCCAATGAAGGAGATCTATACGGTGCAGATCTACATCGAGTAAGTAAGAAAGCGTTTCTTGGCGGAGTAGCTGGCAGATCTTCATCTTCTTCTTCTTGTTTACGTTCTTTCTTTTGAACCTCCTCAGCTTCTTCTGGCTCCACCGTTGAGCGGCTGAAGATAGGCTCACTCCTCGAGGAGCTTGACCTCTTCTCTGACTTCCTCGAGAAACTAACATTAGTAAACGACTTCCATTTGCGCCAAGCAGGGGTAAAACATGTCGGTTTTAGTCTCCCGGAGAAAGGGTGGCAAGAAAACGCGTTCTTGACCCATCCGCACCGTCTACGCCGGCGACTTTCATTTGCACCACCACGCAAATGACCTCCGTTGACCCGGTTAGTTCCCGGTTTGGGTTTCTTGGAGCGGGTTATCCTTACTTGACCCATGCATGTGACTTTAGGTGAAGACGGTTCTTGCGTCTCCGTCGCGTTTTTTCTCCGGAAAAATATAGGTTTTTTTGAACGGGGACGAGAACGGGAGCGATGTCTGCTTCTGCTTCCGGCGGTGGTTCGTAAAAACCGCATAAGTAGAGGCGGGTTCTCGGTTCGACCCGGACTTGAAACGGGTCTTGAAGAAAAACTCATTTTTCTTGTCCGACTGAAAATATTGTTGAAGGTCTCTCTCACTCTTGGTCCCTATATGATTCAGATCGAAAGGTTGTGTAATTATTTATTTTTTTTAATAATATTTTGTATGTTCACACGTTTGGTTCAGGGAAATTGACGGCCTGGATCTTTTA